GATGTATTAAACACTAAAAAAAAAAAAGGGTTACGGCAAAAATTATCCTTTAATTATTGGATTATCAATTTGATTCATTTAGATCTCGAATTATTATTATTTTTAGTAAATATTATCTTTTTTCTGTTATATTTGATGATCGAAATGTTGATCGCCAACTTAAATATTTAAATAAACATTTTATTTTATTACAAAAGAAATTTAATTATATATATATGGTAACATGTCATCTTGAAAAACCATTAAATCAATTGAATTAATTGAACTGAACTTAGAGAGAGACTAAGTCTAAAATGTTGTTATGATCACTTCTATAACTTATGCTTTTCCGTAATTGTAATAATATTTTAAATCGGATACATGTTTTTTTCTTTGTTTTTTACTATAAATTCTTTATTCGATCAATTGTAGTTTTTATTTTTCTCTCTATTCAATTTAATTAATTATGTTGATTTAATAGTGTTTCGACACAACATATATCGTGATATATTGAGACGATATGTTATCAACATTAATCATTATTGTATCTTTTTATTTTTTTATCTTTTTGAAAAAAAAACTTAACCGGTGCCATTTAAGCGTTCAAATTAATAATCAAGGCTTTGATCATAAAAAAATACCTAAAAATGGATAACATTTGCTTAGAAAATAATATTTTTAGAATCAAAATTAAATAAGCTAAATCGGTAGTAAAAAAACTTTAAATTTCCGTAATCCTAATAATTTGGGGATGTTTTTTTAATTAAATATTTAAACGATATCGTTTAAACATTTAAATTAATAACAAATATTTTGATTGTCAAAAATAACGAAAAAAATATAATATTTATCTATAAAAATAATAATTTGTAGTCTAAATAACTTAAATTTATAGTAAATATGTTGAATTTTCATAATTCTAGTAATTTGAAGTTAATTTTTGTAATTAAATCCTTAAAAATAAGAGAATGCAACTTTCCGTGGGATATTAACACCATATAGATCATAGTAGCTATATAACCTTAAAGTGTCGACCTTTCCTTTATTGTTGTTATTTTTTTCAATGGTATATGTCTGTTTTTTTTAGAGGAAAGAGGGGCATTTCTTCCCAAATTCAAAACCATTATACTTATAGTCTTTTATATTGTATTTAGATATAGTCTTCAACGATCTAATTATACGTTGACTAAATCAAAAAAATTAAAAATTTCGTTCAATTCGCTATAAATTCTAAAGAATTCTTAATAAATATATCCTCAATCGATCAATATTCCGTACGGGTAGGCCTTCTTTGTTGTCTTGAAAGGGGGAAAAAAAAAAAACTGTCCGAGCCCAATGATTCGGCTATACTGTGTGGATAAACTCTTTTTTTCAAACGAGCTACCAGATCGATCCAACCACATTGAGTTGGTCGGTGCGCATTTTATGAAATTAGATTGGGGTTGGTTATTCTAATTTCACTCATCCAGAGTCAAATTTAGTGGTGGATGGAGGATATAAAGTATGGCTGGTAAAGTAAAACTACCGCAAGAGTAGTATGCGCTGTAATATTTATTGCTGCAGTATATGATTTATATGGCCTGAGTGATTTCTTTATCTTTAACGTGAATTCATAGAATAAATGTTATTAGTTATCATTGAGTATTTTAAATTTTTTCATTCCAATGAACTTAAAGCAGGAAAAACCATGTCAAAAACATATTAATTGCTATTATTGAAGAGTAATTTTCTAGCTAATAAGAATTTTATCGGAATTAAAAGTGCAAGGGAAACATTTATAAAGAAAACGATGTCACTTTACTGTATATTAGTAGCTCATATGTCATCTATTTTTATCTGATTTAGTCTTTAAACAAAAAACAAAATAATGTTTTCATCATATTTCTCTTTTCGTTAGAAATGATCTTAATATACAACAAATGAAAAAAAAAAGTAATTTTATATACTGACACGTGAGAAAACATTTATTTTCCGTTGTTTAAAGCTTTTCGTACATTCTTTTAAACTTTTCATCGTAGTTTAACATTTGTATATTTGATATTTTTTTCAATAAAATATATTTTAATTTTAATAATTTTAATTTATTTAGTTATTATATGTAATGGATAAATACTATTCCTACTATATAAATCAGACCCAATAAATTTTCTGATGAGTTACAAATAATAATAATAATAATAATAAACTCTTATGTAGATATTTGAGAATTGGGAGGGGTTCATCTATAATTTTCAAGCACACACTTAAACGATCTATATAATTGTAAGGACTAAAATAAATTTTAGGGTCGATCTTGTCCCGCTCCCGTTTTGATGTAGCCAATGGTCTTTGACATTAATAAACACTAAATCATGCCTAGCTAAATTTCCGAACATAACTCACGGTGGGAAACGAATGAACAAAAACTACAGAAATGAACTTTTCCAATCTATAACAACAATGAATACAATTAAGTTGGGTCAGAGAATTGAAATATGGCTAAAGGAAGCTTGAAGTCGGTAGGTATGAAAGGTTGGCATCTGATTAAACTTAGAATAATGCTTTTAGTAGTAGGGTGTTAGGGATAACTGTGGAAAGAAGATGAATTGAGAATTTCATTTGATTCCCTATCTGATGCACTGAATTTTTGTAATCTTTATTACGTGATAAAATGTATACATCTAATTGAGATTTATTTATTGACTTTAAATTTGTTTTTGAGATTTCTTACAAAAATTACATTTTAGTTTTAACAAAAATATGCAATTCACGTTAGTTCGTTTTGAATCTCAATATTTGGTCTTATTTTTGTTAGTTCGTTTCGTTTCTTCTCAATTATTGTTTAAACTATATTCATGCTTTATTTATTTATTTGTTTGTCGTTATCAATGAAATTACTATTGGCATATATTATTTTCAATTCCAGTTCAACTTTTTTCTTTTTTTCCTTTTGTTTTTTTCAAAACGAGCTAAACTTTTATTTATATCACTTATTATTGTCCAACAAAACAAACAATATTTATAATTAATTAAATATAAATATTTCTTTCATTGAGTTGATTAATTGAAACTATCACATGATTAATACTTTTTTTTAACATCAACTCATTATGCAAACAATCTCATTTAGTATATCGACTAACTAAATTACATTTATATTTAAAAGATTCACTATAATTTATACGAAAATTTTTTTAAATCAATAATTTAGAATATAAAAATTACTCCACTAAAAAGAACACAAAATTTTATAGTAATTCTAAGCAACACCAAGTTTGTCAACGGGTGTGTACACACACACAGAACACACATGGACTTGAGCATCGTTAACTTCAAGATTTTAAATAATCTTTCGGGTCTTCCTATAAAGGCAACTAGTAAACCATACAGGTTAGCGATGTTTTTGTGGTGGCTGACGACCTATTTCACAGATTTAAAAGTTACGGGGAAGCGCCCTGCCTGTAAAGGTAATAATTCTTGTTTTCTATTTGAGGACGAATAAAAAGAAAAATCAAAATTTCGTCCATGAGTAATTTTGTGCAGAGGGGGTGGTGTACTGTCAACTATGTACCACAGCAAAGCAGAGAAAGGAACAAAAAACAAAACAGGAGAAACAGCGCAAAGTCAACAAGAAAGAAGAAGTCTCTGCTTCTTTTCTTTATTGTACTATTATTTTCTCTCTCTCAGTGCAAAAGACTTCCCTTAAAGCGGTTAGAAAATCATCATATAGGCATCCTTCGATTCTCTCTCTCTCTCACAATCTTTTTTTTATATATATTTATACTAATAATTTTCTTTTTTCTTTTATTTAGGAAAAGAAGTTTCAATTGTTCTCTCATCTTGCCTTATCTTTCGTTCTTTAGCATCATTTTTTTATTCAATTGCTTGTGCAAACTAAAAAGTAGTACAAACAAGAAACAGGAGAAAACCAGCCTTTCCTCACCAAACAAGAACCACAAGGAAGCTAAACCCATTTTGAGCTTTTAATTGGATCGTTTATAGGTAATTCTTTCATACCCAGTTCTTGTTTTGACTTGTTTCTTGGATTTTTTAGGAGTTCTAGGTTTTTGTGTTTTTGTTTAATGGGTTTCATATGCTTGTTTTACTCATATGATCAAATTTGGATTTTGATGGTTTAGATACTGGATTTGGGGAGGTGGATTTGGTTTGGAATCTTGAATATTGAAATTGGATGGTGGGAATTTAATTGAACAAGTTGGAGGTGGGCTACGTAGTTCTGTTTCTATGGATAAGTTTTGCTGTTTTAGTCCTTCCTACTCTCAGGTAAAAATATTAATTCTTTCTTGGTTTTTATTATTTTTGATACGCGTTTGTGATTTTTTAATGGCTCTATTCTTATTTCTATTTGGCACATAACCTTAAATCATAATTAGGCTGTAACAGTGGTACTGGAACATGGAGCTATACGTGTGATAGGCTATTTCTAAGGGGGAATTTTGCGGATTTCGTATCGGTATGGGATTTAATTGTGGATATACATTAGATAAGCCTTGGCTGAAAATTTGTTGGTTACATAGAACTGATTCTTTAGGTTTCCGTTCTGTCAACGTTTGCCTACTTGTTTCGTGAGTTATTCAGGGATCTATAATTTACACAATATGTGTAGTTACACACTAAAACTGTTCTAAAAGATTAGGTTTACTGATGAGTTTACAGTATTAAGTTCTTCTATGCAACCAAGAAGAAAACACAGTTCCAAGTTTCTCTATTGTTTTTTCATTAATGTTATCAAGCAACTTTCTATGCTTCAATTGCTTGTGGAGAATTTTATCGTACACGTATTACTTCATTTAATGCCATTCTTGCCTGTTACCTGATCCGAGTACCTTAGTGAATCAGAACTCTTTTTTGATGGCTTTCTTATATCTTTCTGGTTTCTAAACATGTGTAATTCAGACTGAGATTATTATTACATGTAGCTTGTAGGTGGACGTTCATCATCTAGCTCTGGTAAGGGAAAAAATCACGAGGGTTTGATCAAATATGGTTTCAGCCTAGTAAAAGGGAAAGCTAATCATCCAATGGAGGATTATCATGTTGCCAAGTTTGTGCAGATTCAAGGACATGAATTAGGGCTTTTCGCTATTTATGATGGCCATTTGGGAGATAGTGTGCCGGCATACCTACAGAAGCATTTGTTTTCCAATATCCTGAAGGAGGTGTGGCATTGCTTTGAAACATTTTATTGATGGCCAAACGTTTTGGTCTGCTTTACAAATAACTTTGTACTGCTTTCCAACACTTTCTTATTTGATCATTCTAGGAAGAGTTTTGGGTTGATCCCAACAGATCTATCTCAAAAGCCTATGAGAGGACTGACCAGGCAATTCTCTCTAATAGTTCTGATTTGGGGCGAGGAGGTTCTACAGCTGTGACTGCAATCTTGATAAATGGCAAAAGACTATGGGTAGCTAATGTTGGAGATTCAAGAGCAGTTCTTTCAAGAGGGGGCCAAGCAAGACAAATGACAACAGATCATGAACCCAACACTGAACGAGGCAGCATAGAGAACAGAGGTGGCTTCGTTTCAAACATGCCAGGTCTTTTTCACATTTTATTAGTAATCTCTCTGTTTGAGTATGTGCTCCTCTGATTTAATAGACACTAATGATATTCTTAGGAAATTATTGGCTAGTTAGTATCTTCTAATCTTTTTACTGGGGAGCTGCTTCTGATTTTTAATGAATAGTTTTCTCGGTTATGATTTATTCATGTGAAGCTAGAATTTCAAAGAATAAGACTAATTTTGAGTTTTTGTACATGCTCATTTTTCACCATTTTGAAATTCTCAAGCAATTGAACCAATATCTTCCAAATCCAAATAAGATATCATAACGATGAATGGGTCTAGTTAGATTGAATTAATGCAGCATTCAGACTGTAATAGACAATTTAGAGTTTGGTGGCTGCAGTTGGCGTTGATCTGCATCAGAGCAATCTTTGAAAACTAAAACTAAAAATGCTTAAGAAGAGAGAAGCTGTGGCACTTCCCCTGATCGCCTGGATTCATTTTGGATGAGTGAATGCATCTATATTTGTTCATCATTCAAAGAGCCTTTTCTTAAGAATTTTAGTTTACTCATTATGTGGTGTTCTGCAGGTGAGGTAGTGTTGAAGCTTTCATGCATATTGTTCAAATTGTTTTGCTTTTGGGTGTTCAAATCCATTCTGCATCTAAGAGCACTGAATGCTTCCCTCTACCATAAAACCCTTTTTTTTCCTGTAATTTCTTACTCTATCTTTAGGTTTTCATGACCAAAGATTTTTAAGCCGCTTGATACATCTGCCATTAAGTGATTGGTTAAGATTTCCATTTCTATGAGAATAGCAAATGCCTTCAGAACATAAAGTATTTCCCTCAATTTGCTAATTTTTTCACTACAAGCAAACACTCCATTCTATAACAACATATACAACAAGCGACAACATCCAACACAAACATATTCAAGCTTCAAATTCAGTTAAAGATGTGAAAGGATGTAGTTGCTTTTGCGATGAAAACAAAAAGTTCTATTTCAATTAGAAAAATGTTACAACTACGAAAAGTAATGTTTAGTCTCAAATCTTTGAAAGAAATTCGATTCGTCAATGAGAAGTGTTATTTTCTTTTCCCTCCAAATAAGGGAGACATTCATGATCCTTTGGTTAATTTGAATCAGCATAAGACAATTATCTAACCCGGAGATGCAGTTTGTATTCTGGCTCTGTAGTTTGCATGTAACCAACTGCAATGCCTGAACATCATATAGCTACTTATATGGCTGAGCAGTAAGTGGTTTGGTGGTTTCATGTTATCTTTCAAATATTGACTGCTCATTCTATTTCTCAATTCTTGGTTGCTCAGTTCTACTGTTGGTTTAACTAAGGAAGGATGACTCTGATGGATGGGCATAACACTTGGAAGTTACAATACTGTCAATCTAACTTCCTTTTTTTGAACTTCTTTCCAGGAGATGTCCCTAGAGTTAATGGGCAGCTGGCAGTTTCTCGTGCTTTTGGAGACAAGAGCCTTAAATCACATCTGCGATCTGATCCTGACCTGCAAGAAACAGACATAGATAACAATACAGAAGTTCTTGTATTGGCTAGTGATGGTCTTTGGAAGGTGAGTCATTTTATGTTAACTTTGTTTTTCATGTTTAATCAGTGGTAACCACCTTACTGGTTAAAGAATTCTCAATGTGCTCATTTTTTCGATGTGAATATAAAGGTTATGTCAAATCAAGAGGCTGTTGATATTGCGAGGAGGATCAAAGACCCACTGAAAGCAGCCAAGCAGTTAACAGCTGAAGCATTAAAAAGAGAGAGTAAAGATGACATATCTTGTGTTGTTGTTAGATTTAGGGGGTAGAACCACCCTTTGAAACATCATTGTTATCCAGGTGCCAGTATATACCTATTGTAAGAAGAGTTTCGTTACACGGTTGCCGATTTGTGGATTAGACAAATGGAAAATACATACATGGTTGGGGTACTCCTCAGGGTCTCCAGTAGTTTGGAATTTGCTAAAGGGAAGAGAAGATTAGGAAGGATCAAATCCCCCATTGTAAAATTATTTTATTGATTAGGTTATGGTGTTTGATATTGTTTGATTTCTTTATGGAAGTGGATTAGAACATCTGATGTATATTGTCTTCTAATCTTCCCAGAAGACCATTTATATTTTGTTTTGATGAAGAATATGATTTTGACTTTTGATTACGAGTGGAGGAACTTCACCTATCAGTTCAGTGATATCTGCTACCAAGAACATCCCTCCGTCTGCCTTTGTTTTAAGCTCTAAGTGGTTCTGATTTTTTTTCGAATCTGATCTATCCGATTGATGTCCATTTATGGTTTTGGGCAAAACGGCAGCGAAAGCTTAAGGTTGTTTAGTTTATTTGGGCTCTGCCCTATCAGGAGCTGTCTGAAGTCTTAACCAGGCTTAGGAGAAAACTGGTAAAAGGAAAATGTTTTTCACTCAGACTGAAAAGCATGTTTTAGCACCACCTTTTTATATATATATATATATAAGATGCTTTTAACGAGAGGACTTAGTTTCTCCATTTTCAAAATTAGAACACTATCGGTTTTTGCTTTATCGTGTATACAGTAACCTAGTATCGGTTTTTTATTTTTTTGGTTCATATTCTATTGAATTTATTGCTAGCTTATAGGATACAATTAATAATAATGGTAGAAGAATGAATTCGTAATTCAAGTTGTTTTTTCCCCCACCCTCGACACTACCACCACCATGACAACCAATCAACCACTTAGTTGGCGCCATTACGAACACACTCACCTTTATTGCTAATAATTGGGGGGAAAAAAAGGAAAAAAAAACAAATTGTTTTGAAATAAGGAAGTATTCGGGCTAGTATCAGTAGGTGGGCCAAAGCCCAACCTCCAAATAGAATAATAGAAAAATCATACAGTTTAGCCCAGGCCCAAATGGCAAGTGGGGGCAATATTAGGGTTTAGTCGTTCCTCCTTCCTGCAGTCTCGCTCCCTATATATATAGATGCACCCTCTCTTGGATGCTCGAAGCAATTCGTCGTATGTCGCTGATAATTTCTGCAATTTCTGCAACTCTGTTTATCCTCACTTTGCTTTATTTGAGTAGTAATTTTTTGTTGTTTGGTCTAAACCGTATGTATACTTTTAAGATTTGAGTAATAAATTTTGCCTCTCCTTTCAGCTGCAAGAGCTGAGATCTATTTTGGATCAATTTCTTGACGGCTTTGTTCTAGAGGCATATATAAACTTTTCGATCCAAAGTCTTGGGGTTTCTCAGATTATTATTTGCTGTTGCAGGCTATGTTTTTTCTGGCTCCCCCTTCTTTGGTACATTTTTAATAGCTCTCTATCAATCAGAATCTAATTTTGAATTGCTGTGGTCTCTGTTTCCTTTGTTTCAAAGATACTGGTTGAAAAAAATTGGATCTTCGATTTCTTTTATTATCCTACAGTTTTTATATTTCTTAACTATCAATGCTATATTTTTAAGCTAATCCATTCATCGTGGGTTAGCTAAAGCTACATCTTTTGCTAACTACGAATCATATGGAATGTTGTTAATGGATGGAGGGGTTATCCATCACTTCAACCCTCGGCCATAAAGTTTTGTTGGGTCATTGGTCTCTTAATATTTCTAAATCATGTTCCAAGTAAAATAATGAGGAAATGAAAGTACTCCTCTCTCTTCTTAACTCTAGGTCTGTGAAGGCCTGCTCCCTCTTAACTATAAGTCTGAAGCCCTTTTCACATGGGCCGTATGGTTCGATGACGACGTGTAGACTGACTTCAATAAAAACTGAATATTTAAATAAAAATTAATAATATTTATTAAAGACGTTTTTTTAATATTAGTAGTTTAAATATTTACAATAAATTCTAAGTAAAAATTAAAATATTTTGATTTATTGTAATCATTAAACGATATAATAAAGTGTCCTAAAAATATTGGTTAACTGGTCCCTTAGTTTAATTCAAAGTTCATTTAGATATAACAAGTTTCCTGATAATATTTGTCAACTAGACCCTTAGTTTAATCTAAAATTGACGGTTTCCTAATTTTCTAAAAAATTGGAGGTTTCTTATTTGGCCTGTACATCGTGCTTGCAAACTTGTCGTCCAATAACTTCTCGATACCTTATTTATAGCAATAGTTAGATGAATGGGGATTATGTATATTGAAAATTTTACTTTCAATTTTTACATGAAAGCAAGGACCATTGGTGATTTTGATGATGATATTCATGTTTTTATGGAAGGAAGGAGTACAATAAATATAAAGAGTTTCTCCTTATAAGATTTGAGTGTAATGATACATCAACATAATTTCTTTTTTTAGGAAAATGGCTCTGTATGTTTTTATACAGCGTATAAGTATTTAGTTTGTTTTTATATTTTAAATTGAGCCAATTGTGTTTTTATATAAAATATTATGTAATTTACACATTATTGACTCAGATTAATGACCATTTGCAAATAAGATAGAGGAGAGTATTTGAGAAAAATAAGGGATTTGATAGTAGATAAAATATGGAGGCTTTGAACAAAAAAAAAAAAAGGATCTTTTTGTGACATAAAAAAGTGACGAGACTGATTGTTTTGAGATTGTTGATTATGGCTGGATTTTTGGAGGAGAACGAAAGGATAGAGAAGAGATAAATGGGACGAAGGAAAGGAAAAAGAAGATAAAAAATGTGTTTTGGGCCTGTCTTTGGCAGGATTCTAACCAAGGTGGGTGAGAGTGTGTGTTGGTAATTCACAGGTTTCATTTTATTTAATAAGCATCTTGATATGAAATTAATTATGTGTAAATCACAGATTTTTTATGATTTTTACTAAAAAAATCATGTAAGTAAAAGATTAAAAAATTATTTAATATACAAAGACATAAATAACTTATTTTAAGATATAATAAACAGATAAGACATTTATCCCCTTATTTTCTAATTTTATTTTATTGTTCCTAAATTTTTGTGTTCTCAATTTGGATCTCTATTTTAGGATTGAGGGAGAAAAATATATTTCATAATCAATTACTAAATTGTTTGTTTCTTTAGATAACTCGTTTGTTATGGACACGATGCTCAGCCTGCCCCCGCTATGAATCACTGTATGAAACATCTTGACAAGCAGAGACAATATCGACAAACGACCACTTATATAGGTCTAATTATGATATTAACTAAAAAAACCTAAAGAAAAATGATCGTTTATTGTAGCGTTTTTATTTGGATTATTGTTCATGCTTGCATAATTTACTATTCATTTTTTTACATTTCACAGTGTATTTCACTATTTATGGTTTTTTTCTTATATTTTGATTCCTGATATTTTCGAAATTATATTTTGATCCACATGTTCATTTATTTATCCATTTTTGTCCTTGGGTGGAGAGAGAAGGTCGAGGAGAAGAGAGAGATGGAAGAAAAGAGAGATCGTCGGTCAACCTCGGCTACTTTAGTCGACGAAAATCCACTAAATTTGTTTATCTTTGAGAGATGAGTTTGTGCATAGTGGTTTCAAGCCATTAAACAATTAGAGGAGGTAGATCGGAGCTAAAAAAAGAAAAGAAAAATCCGATTTGATTTTGTTTTTTTTTATGTATTAAAATGATTTTTAAGGTTTTAGATGTGATTATTAGCTTTATTCCGATCATTTAGAGGTGTTGAGGGAAAAATAATGCCGGAATTCAATTTCTAAGGTTTGAAAGTTGACTATCGATTTTTCGACGAACTTCCAATGACCTCGGCTTCGTCGAAAGTTATAGGTTTTTTTTTTTTTTTTTTTCCGAGCGAGACAAGCTCGGCGCGCGAGGCTCGCTTGCACGGGCAAACCACGCTAGCCTTCCTCATTTTTTTTTTTTAATATTATATGCAGCCTAGTTACACAAGCCAACCAGGCTTTTTTCTCCCCCTATATATATATATATATAGAGAGAGAGAGAGAGAGTATCTAATTATATTAACTTTATTGTGATTTAGTCATTTGTTTTAATTTGTTTTATTATTTTAAACCTATAACTTTAATTTGCCATTTTTTTTTAATTCTTATCCAATTAATTTAAAATTACATTTAATGATAGTTTTCGTTTATTTTAATATTATTTATTCTTTTCTCATCCAATTAATTTAAAATTACATGGTTCTCAATTTTTTTATACAATATATATATATTTTAATTTCAAATTTTAATTATATTGTAATTTGATCTCATTTTGTTTTAGTATTTTTTGTTGATTGTTTTTATGATTGAAAATTTACTACTTTAATTTATCATTTTTTTAAAATTCTCATCCATTTAATTTCAAATTACATTAAAATATTTAAAATATTTTTTTCACTTTTGATTTCATATATTTTTATATATTTACATCATAAAACAGATTATCAAATTGATTTTTTTTAATAATTTTATATATTTTATCATATCCGCAACATAGAGTGGATAAAAAATCTAGTATAGACCTATAGACACGAGAGTAAATACCAATATGATCTACCAGATTAATAGTTACAGAGGTCCATGTACTCGTTATTTTATTTTAATCTCGTCTTTAGGTTCTTTTTTTCTCAATGTCGCTCATTCATGTTTGGTTTCTTGCTTAATCAATACCCTTTCGTTAACATTGTAAACTAATAATGCTAAGATTTTAAACTAATAATGTTAAATCGCACTGTCAATGCCACATGATCGAAAGAAAACTAGAAAGAAATTCAGTAGATGTTTTCTATTTCGTTTTTTTTTAGTTTTTTGTTTTGCAAAACTAGTTTATTAAAATCAGGGGAAAAATTGAATTTAAGGCAGTGAATTTCTAGATGCTTTTAAATGAATTTTGGAAAAGAAATAAAAAAAAATATTTGCTAGCGAATCTCTAACTGCTTTTTTTTTCAAAATTCATTTATTAAAATTTGAAAACAAAAATAAATTTAAGATAACGAATTCCTAGTAGCTTTTAAATTAATTTTAGAAAGAAAAAAATCGATAGCAAATTTCTAGCTTCTTTTTTTTCAATTTTTTCATTTTCAAAATGCATTATTAAAAATCATTAAAAAAAATTGACAAGTTTAGCAATCATGTGATGCTAATGGTGCGATTTATCATTTTTAACTTAAATTTAATAAAAAAATATGATTAAGATAAAAATCAAATCCTAATGGATAAAATTAAGATGGAAAAAAAAATAGAAAGGCATGATCTAAAAGAAGCCAAGAGTAAAAAGAATCCTACAACTATTAATCAATCTAAAACTATAAAGAAGATAAAAGACAAGTAGACATTTGATTTTTTGAGAGGCTAAATTTTTTTTTCAAGTTTTTTTTTTTAGAGAAAAAAAAGAAAAGAAAAAAAAGACATTTAATTTATTAGTAGGAACCCTCTGAGTCTCAATTAATACCTTTGTAGACAATAGAAACAGAGCTCAAACAAGCATTATATTTTCTTTTATTTGTATTTGTTTTTTTATCTGAACTGTATTCTTTCAACTGAAACGTTTTTTTTTTTTAAACAACTTTTCTTTTTAAGCTGTGGATGAATAAAAGTTTTCAACAAAGTACACATGCTTGTTATGGTGCGGCGGAATTCACCTGATTCTTTTTTGCTATCTTACAGAAACTTCTGGAGTTAGGAGCCATAAAAAATAAAGTAGAAGTTTCGCAATCAGCAGAAGCAGCCAGAAGAGTCACCGTTGCTAATTTTCCAAGGCCAGACACAATTGGAGACAAATATATCACGTGGGGTTCACCGCTCTCTTTTATTCCACCCAACCAATACACATGGAAACATTGGAGGTTCTTTTAATTAGAAAAGCAAGAAAACAAAAAAACAAAAAATACAATAATGATTGTAGCAGAGCTACATAGCAACATAATTTGACTATCTTTAACCAACAACCACAAGACAGAAACATTAAAAAAAAAAAAAAGATCCAGTTTTTTTAATGTTTATGTTACAATCTGCAACAATTTAACTGAAGGAAATAATACCTCGTATTTAATTCGATTAAAATAATATACAGAATTCTCTTATCTTATCGGAACAAAATCCGTAGAGGCGTGGACTACTTCCGTTCAGAATATGTTTAGGTGGCACTGCTGCTTTGTATCCCCTCTAATGTTGTTTGGTCCATTCGAATTGTCTCTTCTCCTGGTGAGAATTCCTTTTTTGCTTATTCCTTTTTTGTCCATATGGAAAAATAAAAAATAAAAAAATCATAATAAAGGATCCATCGCAGAAGCCCATCAATAATAATGAAACGGGGCTCTCAAGCAGGTCTAGCACTGCCCTAACTAGTCCTTTTTTGTGACTTAATTTTGTAGCCCCCTACCACTCTTACGGCCGGATCAATAAACTTCCAAATCTCATAAGATGTAGTTCACCCACCAAACTGTCAACCATGCCTAGCTGTTTGTCACCAGAATTTTAAGCACAAACCAGATAAGCCTTCACTCATCATTGCGTTTTCTCTACTGCACTATTCTTTCATTCATCCTTTCTTCTTCAAAAATTCAACTTCTTTTATCTTGCTGGATGCCCAACATCCATAATAAGTAAGCAACACATCTTACACAACTTCAATATTATTAATTTTTTTTTCTTCAGATAAGAAAAAAAGGAAAACCTCTTTTAATTTTTACAACCACTCGATCATCTGTATTAATTAAGACAAGTGATCCAAATGGCAAGATCCTTCGTTATCTTTACCTTAACATATTTATATCTACATTTATGGTGTTGCGGCCTCTCAAATTTAGGTTATGGTCATGCCCACGCTGCACTTTAACTGTCTTCTCCATTCTCCATAGCACCGCCTCAAATAACTTCTATTTCGCTTCTTGTCTCTCTCTCTCTCGCTCTTACACACAGCTACACTTTCTTTTTTTTCAATTTTGTTACTTTCTCTTCAAAACCAAAGATCCAAAAAAGAAAAAAAATTCACAAAACATCCACGAATTCTTATTTAACTAGTCTCTTAATAAAAGCAGTCTCTGTATTTTTTTCCCCTTTTTTCCATACTTTTGTTGGCTCTTGCTAGTGTAGCAAATCAGAGAATGTCCAGGTGTTTTAGTTTCACAGGGACCAAAAACTGGTGGTTCAGGTCTACTTTTACAAGATCAGGGCTCCAATCCAGAATCACGGACCTCAAGGATGGTACTGTAATGCACTGCTGGGTGCCTAAGACCCGAAAAGACTCCAAACCCGACCTGCTCCTAATCCACGGGCTTGGAGCCAATGCATTATGGCAGTGGGGTGACGTCATCCAACACTTTGTTCCTTACTTCAATGTCTACGTGCCGGACCTTGTGTTTTTCGGGGCCTCATACACAACCCGGCCGGAGAGAACCGAGTCTTTCCAGGCCCAGTGTCTGATGCGGGTCATGGAGTCCCACTCGGTGCAGAAGTTTAGTCTAGTTGGGCTTAGTTATGGTGGGTTTGTTGGGTATAGTATGGCAGCCCAGTTTAAGGAGGCTGTGGAGAGAGTGGTGATATGTTGCTCAGGGATTTGTATGGAAGAGAAGGACTTGAGTGAAGGGGTTTTTGCAGTTTCTGATTTGGAGGAGGCTGCAAGAATTTTGGTGCCACGAAGTCCTGACAAGCTTAAAGAATTGGTGGGTTATACATTTTTCAGGCCACCTCCTGTAAGGTTGATACCTTCTTGTTTCTTGGCTGATTTTATTGACGTAAGTGCTCTAATTCTTTCTTAATTACGTTTTTAATTTATTCAACGGTTGTGATTTACCACATCAAGAGCTATGAACTTTTGGTGGTTCGGCAGTTTTGTGATGTGAAAATATACTCCTATAATCTTGTTCAGATGAGAGAGAGAGAGAGAGGGAGGGAGGGAGGGGTGTGTGTGACTATGGACTAGACTATATTTAGACCACTATGATAATGTCACATTTAGTTAGTTTGAGTAGCTTCGTCAATGTATTATAATGTTCAGATGATGTGGTTACAATACAATGTATACGGTTAAAAGTATACTTAAGATTTGGTCACCTGGGGCAGGCAATGTGTGGAGAATATGTGGAAGAAAAGAGAGATTTGATTCGAGCTGTTCCGAAAGACCGAAAGCTCTCAAATATTCCCAAGCTTACACAGGTTTGGTCATCCTTTTCTATATGTGTTGGTGAGATTGAATTAGCCACTGATTTGATGATGGCAAAAAGTCAATTGAATTGTAATGCAGCCAACTTTGATAATCTGGGGAGAGCATGATCGGGTTTTTCCATTGGAATTAGGACACAGATTGAAGAGGTTGGTCTCTTAAAAAGTAACCTACTGAATTAAACGAACATGCATTTTGCTTCTGTGACAATAATGCGGTGCTGTGACCTGGGCAGACATTTGGAGGATAATGCTCATCTGGCGGTCGTCAAGAACACAGGGCATGCCTTCAACGTAGAGAAGCCAAAGGAGTTCATCGAGCTATTGAAGTCGTTTCTTGTCAATTTGCAGCTTCCTCCAGGCAGTCCAGTTTCCAGTCAGTCAAAAGTTACAAAAGATTTAACGGGAGAGTTGAACACTAATGCCGTGGATATTGAGTGTAAACAGCATCATTAAATATCCAACTAAGTGGTAGCTTAGGGTAATCAAAAATAAAATAGGGGATTACAAGAATTTTTTAGAGCTCTTCATTATACTTCATCGCCTCAACACAGCTTTGGTTACTACAGTGGTTTCTATGCCATTAACTGCAAACTTGTACGAGCTTAATTACCTGTCTTCCTTTCCACGGATGAATAAGCAATTTCTTTCTTCTATCGTACATTTTCAAGTAATTTTCGGAGTGTCTCTTTGTTACTTTCCCTGGAACAATATCCATACATGTGCTCGAATGCTCATTTTATGCTTCCAAGCAAAGCTATGAATCTTGTAATACACGTTCAAGCCAATTTAAAGACCACCACAGCGCAGGTCCTCTTTACAGGGTTTCAGACTAGAGACCCCTCATGATTTGATCCCCTACATCAACTAGCCTATTCACGAGTGAAATAAATTGCAGATTACAGGAACCAGGAAATTAATTGATGGCACAGGAAATAACTGATTCCAATTATCTGAACTACAACTGGTGAGTTCTCTGAATCTTCCAGTGAGCAAGAGGATAAAAAAAGGGCAAGAGATGTACAAATCAGGACCGAAAAAATGCCAGAACCAAATGGTATAAACAGAATACGTAAACTTGCAATGGCAACTTGGGAGGTGTTAAAGCTATAGATTTAAAAGCAGACCACAATCATTCAAGTAGAAAGTGTTCTAAGAGAAAAGAAGACACAACAAAGAGTCTTAAAACAACTGTTCAGCAAATAGATAAAAGCCAATGGTCCACCATTCCCTGTACTACTACTGGAAGAGTCATTCTGGCATGCTCCTCCTCAAATAACCAAATTTTAAAGAATTGCTCTCCATGACTCAGACTAATTCTGCAAAATTAATTCTCATGAGCTAAATAGAGAAAATAAGAAACATAAAAAAGATGCCCCAGCAAAGAACCATTAACATGTCAAAAGGCAATCCAATCAAAATGATAAGCGCTTGTCTGCCAGTACAAACAACAACTACAGACATAATAAAAGCTCAGTTTTGCTTTACCTCTGCCGCCTTAGGCTCATCAGCTGTAGATTGCTCACCTGCCAAATTAAATAGCATTTTCATTAGTCAATGGCTATGTACAATGGAAGTATTGACTCCACAGTCCAGTTAAACTCATATAAATTCCATTATCGAGTTACAACATCGAATATCACCTCCTTCCTCTGGCAGATCTGAGGTCCATAAAGTGAGATTGTCCCTAAGTAGCTGCATGATGAGGGTACTGTCCTTGTACGAATCCTCATTGAGGCTATCAAGTTCTGCTATAGCATCATCAAATGCTTGTTTAGCCAGGTGGCAGGCCCTGCATGATACAGATGTAGTTTAAAAATATGTCACGTTATTCAGAGCTTACAGCAAAAGACACTATCTGAAGTCAAGTTCAACAAACTGGATGTGCGTGCAGAAGGTATTTGCAAACAGTCTGTGAATGTGTTTCAGTATGTTAGCAAGAAAGAGATGTAGGTTAACCTTTCAGGGGAGTTCAAAATCTCATAGTAGAAAACGGAAAAGTTCAGAGCCAGGCCAAGTCTAATTGGATGAGTAGGAGGCAGATCAGAGATTGCAGTAGAGGTTGCTGCCTGCAGCACAGAGAACAACATGGGAAGTACCATGATTAAATGATCTGTTAACTTCGTAATTAAAAGAAGAGAGAAGAAAAGAAACTCTGGCACATAAAAAAAAAAAACTACAAAATACCTCATAAGCCTTGAGGGACTGATCTGCAGCTTCTTTACGTTCATCAGCACTTTTAAACTCAGCTAAATAACGATAATAGTCTCCCTTCCTGCCTCAGAGAAAAAGAATACAGAAAAAGATCCAACATAAGCAATAAAATAAATTAGAGGAAGTTTGAGCATTGCAAGTTACTATACAAACAGAGATAAGCTATGCCAATAAAAAGAAAAAGGTTATAAAACCAGTTGAATGATTAAAAAGAATTCAACACACATAAATTCATAAATAAGAGAAGCACAAAATAAGAAAAGGAATCTAACAAGGTATTTATACTAAACTCTCCTTCATCCATGTAATTATATGCTACCAAAATGAGTATATTTACAGAATTCTTGTTGTTTACCTATTCTTACCCTCCATCTAAAAATTTGGTTGCATGGATCCATACCAACCAACCTAACATGTAGAGCTTTTTGTCTATTATTCAGGAGTTTACAAGGCTTCAAAAACCTTATTTTGTAACTCGTATTAAGATTATTTGCCCCAAATTTAAAAAGAACTCTAACAGTGCAATAAATCTTACATCTTATAGTAAAAGACAGTAGATTCCCCACTCGAAGAGGATGGGATGAGATGCTGATCAATGACTGATAATATATCATTGCAGATCTTTGCAAGTTCATCTTCAACCCTCTGCCTGTACTCCTTTATCCTCTTCACATTCTGTTCATTCCCCTTGGCCTCCTCCTTCTGTTCAATGGAAGACAATATTCTCCATGATGCCCTTCTTGCCCCAATGACATTCTTGTAACCCACGGACACCAGATTCCTCTCCTCCACTGTCAATTCCACATCCAACTTTGCAACTTTCTTCATTGCTTCTACCATCTCTGGAAAGGAAAGATAGTAATTCAACTGAATACATTAGGGTAAATGGAACTGAAATAAAACTAATAGAATCAAAATTAGAAATCTTCTTTGTCAAATTTTAAGAGCAGAAAAAGAACACAATCGCCTCATTTTATCTGCTATGTGAACCAAAACAATCATCCATCGCAAATCTTCAATGGTTACACGCCTCTCTTGATTTAACACAACTTTCTCACTTCAAGAAATGTGCCTACTCAATTTATCAATTGGTTGCTAAACAAAAATTATGCATTATTCAAATAATCAAATATCAAATAACAGCAACTAAAAAAAAATTCTTGTTTCCCTCGCTTTTTAACCCATACGCAATCCACATGCCAAAAAGAGAGCTGCCATGGGAACGCAACACTACCCCCAAATCAAAATGCTAAAATGATCAATTAACATATTTAATTCTATTAAAAGTCCAGAAATCCCTTTACTTAGTGATTAGGGTTTTAACAAATTAGCGTATCTGTCAATACAGCTACTAAATCCACTAAATCAGTGTAATAAAACACAAATCCACCGAATCAGGAAAAATAATGAGAACATAGAGCAGCTACAGAGAATTAAGCATGGGAAATTAACAATATACAAAAAAAGGAGCAGATTGTAGATCGATTAAATAGAGCACATACCATCGTATCTCTCAGCTTGCTCTGCAAGTCTCGCCAAGTAAACCAACCGCTCTCTCTCCTTCTCCATGCTTGATTCTCTCTCTCTCTCTCTCTCTCTCTCTCTCTCGTCTCTCTGTGATTTTTTTGGCTATTGCGGTTTTGGTACCTGGGTAACTGTTATGAGAAAAGTTGGTACTTTGCTAATCGTCCGTTGGATTGGGTGTTAGAGGGGTAGCAAGGTACGACTGACGGTTACGATTGGGGTTTGGACTATTGGTTTGGGAGTGAAATCTTAGCCGTTTGTGTTAGGGCTTCGGAGAAACGTGGCCGTTGGAAGGGAATTTGGGTGCGCACATGTTTGGCAATGATGTGCCATGTGGACTAGAAAGCCTGCTGATGGTTGTCTGAAGGGTTAGAAGTTAGGTTGATGATGATCATAAGGGTCCCACTTGCTTCTAGATTTTTGTCTGCTTCTTTTGAATTTTTTAAAATGAAAATTGTCAGGTTGTTTTTCATTTTTAGCATCGTGTTTTTTTTTTATTATTATTACAAAAATCAAATGTGCTTGCAAATTATAGGAGTATTATCAATTTTACATCCAGACTGTTTTTTTTTATCATTAAATTAATTTTATTTTTTAATAAAAAACTTTTGTTACAATCACTTGAGAAAATATTAAACTCTCTACAAAATGAAGTCTTTTGTCAAAATAAAAAAAAGTTAAATTTTGGAAAAAAATAGAGACGAAAAGTCTTAAAAATAAATAAAAATCCTCAACTGAAAATTCTTAAAAATTTAAGAATAAAATTAATATTAAAAATTGTTTGACATTAACATTCAGACTGCCTGTATAATTAGAAAATATATTTTGGATTTATTCTTTTTTTTTAAGGCTTAACTCATTATTTTAACACTGTATTTTTATCGATTTGTCCAAAAAAATCTCATATGTTATCAATTTAGTCAATTGAATAATTATATTTTCAATGAGTATAATTTATCTAAAACTGAAAGAGAAACTTCTCAATATAAAGGGAGGAATTGAAAACAATATTAATCAAATTGAAATGAAAGTTGAAAATAACGAACCATACAATGAAGAAGGATACTTAATTAGATGAGATAGATTTTTAATTCTTGAAAATGATGCTCAATTAGCTGAAACAAAAGGCCTACGTATAGAGATATTCGAATTGATAACAAAAATACCTTTTTTATGATTTAGATAACACGGAATGTGTGTGTGAATAGATAGTTAAAAAATGTATTTTAATTAGATAGTTAATAAATTTATATCTCACGTTATTAATTAAAATTTTAATGCTAAATAAATTTTGTTAACAGCTTGGATGTAAACGATCTTTTATTTCTCTTTCTTTTTTTTTTAATAATTGATGTAGATGATTTACTCAAAACTCTTATACAAAAAAAAAAAAAAAAAAAAAAAAATCTTAATCTCACCGAAGTTGACAGCGAAATATTTTCATTATTAAAAAAATTATCTTCGTAATTTCATTAAAAAAACACATTCAGTCTTTCACGGATGCTTTGTTGGGGTTTTGAAAATAGTATTTGGTTTTTAAACGTTCGTGCAAAAATAATATATAAAAAAAGCGGATTTAATAAATATATAAAAAAATCAACGGGAATGCAACGGTACGGATAAAGCATAAATGACATTTTTGCTTTTGTTTCATCAAATACCGTGTCTTCTTTCTTTTGAAGAAGGAAAATATTTATTTTTAAAATTAAAAAATAATTCCATGGAAGAGATTTTAAATTATTTTTACCCAAATTACAATCAAGGTGTCAAGCATCATCCCATTCTCCCTACAAATTTAATCTAATGCCTCCTACCTAGTGGGCTTGTTTTAATTGTTATTCTTTGTATAGATTTTATTTTAAGTGAAATCAATGAGAAATAACTTAAAAAAAAAAAAAAGATTTAGGTTCGACGAGTTAACTTTTGGATTACGGTAAATCTTTTATAAGGTTTACTAGCATACCCCGCATGTTGCCACGGAGTGAATTATATAACATTCTTATGCATTCATTGGTATAAAATGTAACATTTACAAATCACTATTTGACAATATCATGCAAAAATAATTTAAAAAAAAACTAAAACATATATTTCATAATTTGCAACATGGTTAGCTAAATGAAAAGTCTGAAAATTGAGCAATATAATATTGCTAATTAGACATTGTTTGATATAAACATGTATTTTATTAATAGTTGATAATTAAAATAATAACGCGGTGGTTTTTTGAATTTTTGAAGATTAATTTTTACAATATATTATTCATCTATGATTTGTTAATGAGACAGAGAGACCACTCAAAACAAAAAGATAAAAAAACTTCGTCAAATCGAGAATTTGACAAAAAAAATAGAGATAAAATTACACACGATAAAAATTAAATGATTAAAACAAAGTAAATGTTATAAAAAGGATAAAAATAAATTAAAAAAAAACTTTCACTTAAAGCATACAAAAAATACTTATAAATAACAAGACTAAAAAAATTTCATTATGCATAAGGTATGAACAAAAGTAAACATTATAGAATTTTAATGACTAAAATAAAAAAAAATAATAAAATAAGAATCAAAACATAAATTTTTTCACTAAAAAAAAAACTTAGCATAGTTAAAATGTATTTAATTTTAATGTAAAATAAATAATAATTGAATATAATAAAAGTTTAATGATCAAAATGAATGAAAGATCATAAAACAAAAACCAAAATAAAAAAAAGCTTTATTAAGGGTAAAATATAGTTCATTGTAGGAAAAAAAATTAATGATCAAAATAAAAAAAAATTATGAAACAAAGACTAAAAAAAAATTCTACTAAATTTAATGACTAAAAGAAAGAAAAAATAACAAAACATAAATTAGAATAGAAAGAAAATTTCAGTGAAAAAAAACAACGACCTTAGGATAGTAAACTTTATTTAGTTTTAGTATAGTAAGGATAAAAATTAAATATGAAAAAAATTTTAATAACTAAAATAAAAACATATTAAAAAATAGAAACAAAAAAAAACATAAATTTTTACTAAAAGTTAAAAAAAAATTGATTATAAGGATAAAAATCATATATAGTAAAATTTTAATATTTCGATGGGATAAAAATCAAAGATAAAAAAAGTTTAATGACCAAAATTAAAAAAAAAAGAACGAAGGGGCCAAAATAAAAAGCAATTTACTAAGCCGAAATGAAAAAAAACAAAAAAAGAGCTAGCCCGGCGCCTCGGGGCTAGGCTGCCGCCAAAAAAAAAAAAAAAAGGCCCCGTAACTTCCGACAAATTAAGGTCGCTAAAATCGTCATCGGAAAGTCAATGATCAAGTTTCGGATCCATAGAAATTGAATTTCGATATCATTTTTTTTCCCAAATACCTCTAAACGATCGAATAAAGCCAATAAATGTATCTAAAACTTTAAAAATAATTTTAATGCACCCAAAAACAAAAACAAATTAAACAATCAAATCGGAATATTGTTTCCTTTTTTGGCTCCGATCTACTTCCTCCGATTGTTTCATGGCTTGAAATAACTATGGACAAATTCATCCATAAAAGATAAAAAAATTTAGTGAAATTTCGCTAGTCAAAGTGGCTCGAGTAAGCTTAGTCGGCGATTTCTCTCTCTCTCTCCTCACGTCTCTCTCTTCCCTCCTTCCTTCTCTCACATTAAGAGATCAAAATGGATGAGCAAATAAAGATATAGACCAAAAGATTCATTGGGAAATATGAGGGACCAAAATATAAAAAAAATAATAAATAGTGAAATGTTAATATATGAACAATATTTGGAATAATAACCTATCGTTTTGTTTTAGTTTACTTAATTAATTTCTCTCGTATTATAGGATCATTTTTTTATCGTTTTAGTGAGCAGCATCGGCAAAAAGCATTGATGACAATATTATTTTTTATCTTTTTTTTCTTCAGTAATTCTGAATCTAACAGTATATTATTTTTTAGTTTTATTCTAAGCATTTTTTAGTTTTTGTGAGATTTTTCTTTTGTTTATGTTTGTGCCTCTTTACGTTGATTTGTGCGGTTGCAAGGATTATTAATATTATTTTATTTATTTATTTATTTATTATTATTATTATTATTATTTAGGACGTAGATGATTGACGTCACAATCTCACGAATAAAAAAAATGCAATTAGTAAAGCACAACTTCCAATAATTCCTTCATTTTATAATATGGTTCTCAATAGCAAGAAACCTGAATTTAGAAGTTTTGTAATACTCAAGAAAATTAAAAAAAAATTTTAAAAACATAAAAATCTTTTTATCATTTTTTATAGATCCAGATGTAATCTTTTTTTTTTTTAATCCATCTCTTTCTTTAAAATGTATTAACTATTATGTATATCATCAATTACTTTTTGAGAATAATAAAACTTCTCATCACACGCTATATCGTTTTTTTTTATAAAATTTTCTTTACATGTTGTTGGACGTCCGTAGGCGTCAATAAAACTCTTATTATTCTCTATGCACGGAGAATACTAGTTTAGATTGGTTGTAATTGCAGATGTAATGTAGAAGAACCTTTACCTTCTTTATATCAATAAAAATTTCATTTTTGAAAAAAAATAAAAAATTAAGCTCAACAGAGGAAAGTTGATTTCAACATTTACAATTGCGTTTAAAACAGAAATTATGTTCACTTGAGAAAAGTTATAGTTATTCAAATTATTTTTTAGGAGATAAAAAAGTAAAAATAAAAATAAAGCTCTTTCGCTTATTCAAAAAAAAAAAATTTTTTTTTTGCTTAGAGCACGAATTTTTTATCAATCAAAATTTATAGAAAGCTGAAAAATATAAAAAAAAATTGGTTGTTCCAAATTCCCTCACATAAAAGAAAATAAGGATTTTTTCTGGTTTACATTTTTTTTTTTACATCCATTTATTTGATTATATATTTTAAATGCACGCAAAGTAATGTCCTTGTTTTTAAATTTTTATCTTTAAAAAGTTGCATTCAATGGATTCATTTGATTTTATAGGGATTAATGTTTATAGGATTAAAAAAAATAAAGATGGATGTTGCAGAATTAGTTTACGAAAGTAGACACAAGCAAAGATTCTCCAGCAAGAATCACAAAGAGGTAAAAGTTACTATAAAAAAATAAAAATAAAAGGGGAAGTGAAAAGAAATTTATGATCTGATACAATCCAAGTGTTCAGTTACATTTCCAATTCGCGTGGGAAAAAGAAAAATCGAAGCTTCCCGCCACAAAATCTCTCACAGATTCGCGCATCATCTACTCCCTTTCAAGAAAAAAATAATCATTATCACTCAACCAAACACCGAATTAGGGTTTTTCAGAGTCTCGTCTTCTCTCAAACACCTAATCAGGGCGGTGGCCAACAAGGCAAGAGTCTCCAATCAGCTCCATATTTTTAATCTCAAGCCCAAAAATAACTCTAATTGCACTGAATAAGGCCTCAAAATTTCAGTTTCACCGTTTTGTTTACTATTCAATGGCAAATCATAGTGAAGATCTCTCTCAATTAAACATTTCGATAGAGGTACTCCCTTCCTTCAAATTTCCCTCTTTTCTATACATTTTCAATTTTGTTTTCTCATAGAAGTGTTAAAATTAGTGTATTTTTCTTTCAATAGGAAAAGGACAAGCTTGTTGCAGAAGTGATCCGCTACGTGCTTTTCAAAAATCACCAGAATTCAGGGTGTCCGATCAAGAGAGATGAGCTAACACAAATTGTTACTAAAAACTACAAGCAGCGTACGCTTCCTGCTGTTGTCATTGATGAAGCTAAACAGAAGCTTGCCGGCATTTTCGGATTCGAAATGCGCGAGCTTCAAAGGGCTCGCCCTTCCTCAACCAATCAGGGTCGTGTTTCTTCCCAGCAAAGTAATCAATATGTTGCCTTTGAATCAAATTTTTAGGATGCAAAAGATTTTGTGGGTTACTTGCTTTTAAGCTTTGTGAATGAAGGAATTTGTTGTGCTTATGTTACTTGCTTGGATTGGACTTGTTTAGATTTTGACTTACTCTGTGTGCTAAATTGGTGCTATAATCAGTTAAAATTTCAATTGAACAACTTGCAGAATTTGTTTTTCCTACCAATAAACGGTGTGTTTTTCTTTTGTCATGAATTGACAAGGCCATTAAAGGGTATGTTATCCTTTACAAGAACGCTGAATACCAATAATTTTTTCACTTTAATACTACAACGAAAACAGATTCGATCATTATGCTAGGATAAACCTGTCCTTTACTTTTTATGGTCAACTGTTTGTTTTTTCCGCTTTAGTTATAGTTCTTATGATTGATCATTTTCAGGTGTTGCTGATGCTAAATCGTATGTTCTTATAAGCCAACTACCTGCTGATGTTTATAGGAAATATGTTGAGGATGTAAACACTGCGCATTTGACTGGTTTTACTTTTGTCGTGATTAGTATTGTGCACCTTGCTGGAGGCAAAATCCCAGAGGGTATGTCTTTTGGTTGAATTTTCCTATGATAAGCAATTCAATAGAGTAAGCAGAGAGGTAGAAACTTTGGTTTGGAACTGCATTTAGTGCAGATATATATATATATATATATATATATATATATATATATATATATATATATATTAATTCGTGTGGTTTTCCTCCCATGACAGGGTAGTTATAGTTTCTCCACTCTTGCATGGCATGGATAACAGCATTTTTTTTCCTCCTGCCATATCTACCATCTACTTCTCTAATTTTATCCTTTTCACTCTTGTTGTGCAGAAAATCTTTGGCATCACTTGAAGAGAATGGGATTATTTGAAAATGATGAAAGTCATCCTACCCTTGGAAACATCAAGCAAGCATTGGATACGCTTGTCCAGCAAAGGTTTGAAGCAAAAAATGGGATGAAGTGTTTATTTATTGTGCTTAGTTTTCAGAAGTCAAGCACTCAAGAAAGGCAATTTGTGGAGAGGCTTTATAATCTTCTTCTTCTTCTTCTTCTTCTTCTGCAGATATTTGCAGAAAGACAAAATTAGTGGCCCTGAAGGCAACACTTTGGTTTATGAGCTAGCTGAGAGAGCTCTAGATGGACCAGTTTGTGAGAGAGTTAAAGAATACATATCACAGGTATTGTTCAGATGGGAGCTTGATGGTTAGTGTTTTTTCTTCCACATTTTATGATGATACTATATTCCTTTTCATCTATCAACAACGTAAGTTGTACATGGGGTTTCCTAATACTGCAACAATTTATCCAAGAGCAGGACTGCATGATGCTTCAGAAAATCATGTTAGGTTGTCAATGACAGACAACCCTTTCAACAGTCCTGCAATCTATTCATGATTTTTCCTTGAAAAAATCTTCCTACGTACATAAATTGCAATTATATATATAAACAGGCACACAAAGGTAATTCATGACTTTTGAAGTTGAGATTCTGCTGTATGGCATTACTAGAGATTTTCAAAAAGTTGATCAAGACATTGCAAAGTAGCCCTTGTTGATGCTTGACATGTGAAGGATTTTGTGTTGGCAGATTATGAAAAGAGATGTAGCCTCTGTGGTAATTGATTAGTATCCTCAAGCTAACTCCATGGATCTAAGATGCGGCAGTTCCATATCCTGGTAAATGGATGGCAACTCATTTTGAGCGATGCTTCCATGCACATTGCTGTTCCATCCCCTTGCACTCTAGAAGTTGGAATTTGCATCTCCATGTTAGAGCTGGTAAATAGTAACATATTTTTTTATGCATTTCTGCTGATGAATATGCCTATCAGACTGGGGCAATCAGCAGTTTATATTGCCAACTTGCTTTGATTATCTATGTTTTGGGTGACTTGTATTAGAGTGCTGCACAGCCTTTCCAGCTGGGAATCTTAATCATGTTTCAGATCATTTATGCAAAAAATTTCTAATTGCAATTGAAAAGCTGAAGAGAATCGGATATGCTTCTTCAGATATGAAAGACAAATGCCCAACCTAATTGAATAATTAAAAAGAAGGCTATAAATCTGCTACGCTAGTAGCGTTCTAGCGTAAACTTCGGAGATGGTAGCATTTGTACGCGTCATGTGCCCTGGCGTGTGAATATGTAGGGGTTATCCAGAAAAGAAAAAAAAATGGAAACTCAAATGGACATGCAACAATTTCCTTGGTCAAGGATATTGCGACACTCCCAGTTTAAAGCATTTCTCCAAAAAAAATTTCTAAATCGGTGAGCGCACCATTGTTTACCATGGGTGCCAAACATTCATACTAACATGTGAAACGCAGATTGAAATGCTTAAACTTATACTATAAAAAGAAAAGCTACAAGACATCTTCGTATGATGTATAATCTATTCACAAATTGAAATCCAATTATTTTCCTCTTGAATGCTAAATAAATTGTATTCTAAATTATAAACAAATGAAAGATGGATTACTACAACGTCAACATGATTCGTAGTTGCAAATGCTGGATCCAAATTAGCTCTATCATCAGGGATGCCGAGATGATTTGGTAGCAAAACCTCGGCAAAAACAGAATGTCCAACCAAATTTTATATTGGAACATCCCTAACTAATCTGCTCCCCCTCCCCTTTTTTTTCTAAAAAAGGAATGTCTATTCCCACATAGCAGAGAAAAGCTCAGCGACATTCACACACAGGTGCACCCCTACTGGTGCTTGCATCCCCTATTGAAACAGTAGCTAGGGACTTGGAAGCCCAAGCCCTGGCATTCATTGCCCCTTCCTGCAAATTACTCTTCCTGCAAGGTTCCTTAAGAGAATTAAATAGCTGTATTGCTCGATTCAGATAAGCCCGAGGATGCTCTAACAAGCTTGCCAGTCTCATGTTCTCCACATGCCTCCTCCAAGTAAATTGTGCAAATGCAAGCATGGTAGGGAAAGTTAGGTAAAACAGCCTCAGAAGCACAAAAGTTGTTGCCAGAGCCAAATACGTCTCCTCCCTAAACAAATTCTCCGGAGATCTTGCCCACGAGAATGGGCAGCTTTCTTGCTCGGGGGTATCATGTTTTTCATGGTGTGACGCGCGCCCAAATTTGTCCAGCGATCCTTTATCCAGGGATGCAGTCTTGATACCTAAACCAAGCAATATGCTCATCAAATCCCGCAGGAGAATTACAACTCGGTATTAATAGAGGCATGAATGAAGAATGTTCTTTAAGAAAGAAAAGAAAGCATTGCCGTCTTTTGTTCCGGATGCAGAGTAATGAAAAGCATATTCTAAGTGTTTACATACAGATAGTCATCTGCAATACTCAATTAACAGTCGTGAGAAGGAAACTATACTTTGAAACAATCTAGTATAAAGTTATCTGTACTCATCTGTAACTGTAGAGATAAAGAGATTAAACCAGAATCACAAACACTAAAAGAGGAAGCTTGCAGTTGAAAATTGTAGAAGGCAAGAATGCCCTTACCAGTAACATCACTGTAGAAAGCAACGAGAGAACCAACACTCCTGGAACCATGATAGCGCACCCGCATTGTAGAATTCATTAGGAAAAGAGTAGGAAATCCATGAACTCCATACTTGGATAGTATGCTGCAGAAAAATAAATAAATGTTAGTTACTCCAAGGCAACAAGATGCCATAACAACAAGTAAGAATCTACAAAGATGGCATTTTATCCTCTTAGTTCACAAACCTTGGCCTGATGGATGATTCTTCAATTGCAAAATGGGGAATCAAGGGGTACAGCGAAGAAACGATGGAGAAGCTTGGTCTAAAAGTCCTAGAGAAAGGGCACCATGATGCGTAGAAGAGCACAGCTACATATTTATGACTACTCTTCTGAACTAAATTCAGAGCCTTTTGTAACGAACTCTCGTCTCCCTTCACAACAACAAACAAAAATTTCATTAAAATTACGCAACCATTTTCATTCACAATAAAGCAAATTTCTAGACTTTATCCAGCTTCAGTTTCATATTTTAGTGGAGATACTGTTTTGCTTCTACAGACAGATAATGCCTTTTGGCATATATAAAGTAATTTCACCTAAAACTTTCTTAAGGAGGAAATAAATTGCCAAATACGCAATAAATAAATAAGCTAAATGAACTACAGAGATATGCTAACATGTATAAAAATCCAAACACCAGAATCACGAAATTCACAACAATATAGAAATTTTCTCTGAAATTATCGTCCTCCAGTGTCATCTTGCAGCTCTAATTAAACAACTAGACAGAAATAGGTCAATCCCAATAAAAAAGGAATGATTACTGTGGTTAATTTAATTACATTCACAATATCAAGTTTCAATAAGCTCATGCTCCTAAAGAATGTCAAATAGCGTTTTCAATTTCAACAAAGATGTCAAATAGACTTTTTAAGGTGAGGAGGGAATAACAGCATCAGCTTACCTCGGTGACACCAGCGAAACATGGAGTTTCATCAGCACCAGAAACGACGCAGTTTTGATCTCGAAGCCCCAAGATCGAATCTGCTACAGACTCTATCGGACAAATCGAAACCATATTAGAGTCGGCGGCGGTGGCGCACATTAGACTCCCATAAATCATCATCGACACCAAGATCCGCGTTTGCCAAACCCTAGTCTGCATCATCGAGAACCGCAAAGGAAAAAAAAGGTCTAACCCGCTAAAAATCAGGGTTGTTAAAGAAAAGATAAAATCAAAGGAGAGGAGGGAAAGAGAATATAGCGCATTTTAGCGTAGGAAGATAGGTCTGTGGAGAAAGGAAAAGGAGAGAGAGAGAAAAAAAAGTAAATATTTGGCAAAAATTGAAGCGTTGATAGAAAATTGGATGGATCTTAAAAATATCTGGAGTTGGATTTGGGTGTGAGACTACAAAAGGGCGAGAGAGGTTTTCAATTTCAATTGATAAGATGGGGGTTGTTTTTTTTTTTAAAAAAAAAATGTTTATAGGGCAATGAAAGTGTGGTTTTGAGAGAGAGAGAGAGAGAGAGTGTGTGTGTGTGTGTGAGGAGGGAGGTGAAACATAATGAAGGTGCGCATTTTGGTTGGAAAGTGGGGCCAAGCTAGTGGTTTGCTTTGTTACGTCAGATGTGGGGTTTATTAGAGCCTTAGAGCATCCCTGTCCTTCCATAATTTTTTTAGACTCCATTTATTTGCTCGATGAAAAATAATTTTTATAAAAAAATTAAATTTAAAAATATTATTTTTTATATTTAATAATTATATAAGAAATTATTTAAAAATATATTTTAATATTTATTTGATACAGAAAATTAAAATATTTAATTATTTCTTCATTTGTGAGAATATAACCACAGTTTGTGATAACTAAAAAATTAAAGAGATAATGACTACAGGAATATAAGTTTCAAATTTTAATTTTTTTAATTTATATAATTTGTGTACATTAACTTGTTTTGATGGTTAAAAATTAAAAATATATATATCTATGATATTGACTCGTTAATTTTTTAGGCTTTGGTAGAGAGAAGGAGACAAAATCTTATCTTTTTTACTTTTATTTTTATTTTTATTTTTTTAAGATGGATTCTTTTATTTCCTTTTACATTAGATTCATATTTTCTAATGTCAAATAAATCTAGATTTTTTCTTAAGAAATATAAGTTTTCATATTTATTGACTGAAAAGGTATTAAATACTTAGAAAAACTGTCTAAGTATTATCAGACTTAAATAAATTAGAAAAAAGTTAGAGCTATGATATTTTTCGTTGTTTACAAAATACTTAATTTAGCTCTTCATCGTTAATCTTCTCTTAATTTTGCTTTATAAGCGAGAAAGTGAGGGATAGGACTCACAAGTCAGGCCACATCAAACCTTAACGCATCAAACTAGACAGAAGGACATGATAAAGCGACTGAGGTTAAGTACAAGGATTTGATTAAGAAAATTAAATGATGGGGGACCAGAAAAAGAAAATAATGGAAGTACAAGGATATGTGACCTTGTTTACCGGTCATATTTGTTAACTTGTATTCTCTCTTCTTCACTTTTTGCGGTCCCAAAAGACCCAAGTTTATTGCTCCATGCTTGTTTGGCCTTTTTTTTTTTTTTTTTATTTCATTTACTCATAGGTGCCGTTTGGTAATAAAAAACAAAACGATAAAAATGAGAATTCAAGAATCGGAATGATATTTGTATTTTTATATTGTATTTGAAATACTAATGAAGAATCAAAATACAATTTAAATTTTTTAATATATCATTTTTTTATGCAAATAAAAATAATGATTAAAAAAATAATTTTATTAAACTATAATGGTTGTAAAAATAATAAAGGTGATGATGATGATTGTGGTTATGACGGTGATAGTGGTAATGATAATGATTGTAGTTGTGGTTATTGTGATGGTTGCGGTGACAATGGTGGTAGTGATGGTGGGTGGTGGTGGTTGCAGCGAGTGGTAGTTGTGATGGTGGTGGTTACGAGGGTGGTGAGTGCGGTAGTGGTGGATGTGATAGTGATAAAAATAGTTAATAGATAATGAATAAATAAAATATGTTATTATTTTGAAAAAAAATAAAATTAATTCTCATTCATTGTTTTTATTCGCACATCTTATGTGACAATGAAGTTATATGTAAATTTTCATTCTCATTCATACTTTTCTTTCCCATTCCTACTTTATTTCTTTTAACTAAACAACTATAATGTGAAAATAAAACTTTCATTCTCATTCTCACCACTTTATTCTTGATTACCAAACAACACCTTAAGATAAAAGTTTAATATCCGATCCCAAAAAAGAAAGAAACGGAACTAGTTATATTTTCCTCAATTTTAGAACAAAGCTTTGAACTTTATTTGAATGCCTAAGGTAGAGAAATTTTTAGCTCTGGGCTTTAGTGAACTTTATTAGCGTTGGTGCTTCAGATATTACCGAGCGGAGAGTCTGTTCCCAGTGCAAGCCCTAAAGGCAAACCCATAAGGAGCCTTTCTATGTTCGACGGCGAGATTTGCAAGTTGGCAACCAAACCTTTTGTCCTCAGACGCGGCGAAGCCTCCCCTTGGCTACTGCCTACCAGGCGGGTTTCTTTTTTGTTTAGGTCACTCGTCGAAATAAACAAAATTGAGATAAAAGTTCTTGAGAAATAGTAATACTATAAAAGAAATACAACAAACTTTCTGTTAGTGATTCTAGTATCACATTATCAATTTGGCAGTGATATGATTAAGATAAGAACAATAAGTAAAATGCTCCTTTAATTCAGAAAATTTCCAGAATTGAGGTTTGTGACATCACATAGATGCACGTTGTCCGGCATTGATGCGCGGGTCGGCTGTCAAACCTGCCGCCGTAGGGGCCAACTACTACAATTATTGTGAAAATGCCATGAAAAGTACCCCCTAATTTTAGAATGGCAATCAGTTTCAGCTGTACCAGATTTGTTGCCTTATCAGTCTCGTCCAACTTGTCATGACAATGACAAGCATTCAAGGAAAGAAAATGCGGGTGGACGACCGGAAGTGAGTTTTTCAAAGAAATCAATAAAAAAAAAAAAAACCATTTCTGCGACGAACAGCGTTAAAGATGAAAAGCACCAAAAACGAGCTGTGAAACCCAACCCTTTCTTGTTTTTTTTTTTTTTTGAAAAAAACACTTTCCCTATCTAACTGTACGGTCACAGCATTTCATTATTAATGTTCCCAGGCAAATTACATCTCACCTTTAACACGTGTCAACACCCAGGTAAACAAATCGGCGTCGATATTAGAAACATTTGCCTTGTTCACAACGCAAGGATCTTAAATAGTGCAGGCTGAAAAATGTTAATAGTATCATGAAACGAGATCAGTTTCATTAAAAAAATTGATGATACTCGCAGTTCCACACCCCTGCTCCTTCCCAAAAAAATAACAAACACGGAAAACGATGGGGAAACGGTACGAGTTTATCCCATCTCTCTGTAGAAACAAGCAGAGCAAAGCCTACAGAGGAATACGTTTTCCTATTTCCTTGCTGGGATATTTCGTCATCTTCTACATGTGATTTCAGTCAGAGGAGGGAAAAAGTCTATTTTGACATCCCCAAGCTGAGTGGAAACAAATACTATCTTTATCAATTATGAGATTAAAAAAAATAAAGATTTTCAAGATGAAAACGATAACAGCTAGGAAATTAGTTACTACAGAAAAATCTCTAGGCATATACAGTTAGCTCAATAACTTTTAGTTTGATAAGCTGAAACCTGAAAATAGAAGAAAAGTTTGTGTTTCAGTTCATGCCCAGTTCAGCCCCTAAACCAATGGTTAGGATTAGCATTTCGATTCTTTCTTGTGATGGAAAACTAGCAAGTTCAAAAGATAAAGCAACTGCAAAACTTAAGTCATCCAAACACCAATGAAACAATACCAACCCTTGGCAAATGACAAAGAAGAATCACGAGACCTTCAAAATTCAGCCTCTTGCATAGCATAGCCCTGATAAGCCAATGAAAAATTCCGCGCAAGCTTTAATTACAGTGTCTGGAAAATAAAGGATGTGTCAGATTGAACATTATTCTTGTGAGAGAATACAAGAGTACAGGTATAAGCTAGCTACATTGAACTAGATCAACGGGGTAATCCTAGAGGAAGCAAATATTGAGGCACAACATGAAGCAGAGTGAGAGACATACAGGCTTCCATAAAGAAAAAGTGAAACAAATTTATACATTTACTTGCTAAGCCATGTAAAGAAAAATATACAACAAACACAACCACATAACAGACATGGAAGATTGAATATAGTTGTTACATAATGGTCAAAGATAGTGTAAAGAAGCACTGGCATAGAAATTCAAAATAAAAAGAGCATTAAAATAGATCTACAAAGTTGTTGCATGATAAAGAACAATTTGAGTGTAAATCAACCAGTTGAATTTTCCACAGCCTGTGCGAATGGAAACATGATCAACTAATAATAATTCACATGCTGACAAACAAATCTACGGTTCAAGAACTTGAACCTGCCAAAAAAATTGTTAATTTGTCACCTAGCTTGACTTTTAGAAGACAACAGGGTAACAACCAAAAAGATTTTTGAAATCTGCAAAGCATGGAATCATTACTAGCCAAAAGAAAAATTTTCTGAATGTAGAAAGTAGAAACTACCTGAGCTCTTTTACTTATGTGAATTTGCATATATGAGAAGGATTTCTCATGGTAGCCTGGAATGTTAATAGGCAACCGACTTTACTATACATTGAATTGCCCGGGCAACTTGGCAGAACACTCTGCACACATAAAACCCATTGTGCTTGCTTCTCCTTCAGATTCAAAAGCCTCCTGACAAATCTCCCTTCCACACCAGACACAAACAGCAGGAACATGGTGCCTGCTTGCATTCTTTGGCAAAAAAGGCAAATCTTCCTTCTCAAGCCAAACAGATGAATCAAACCCTTGAGGTGTAACTGCATCATATGAAACAACCTTGGATTCACCTGGATGAGAGCTTACTTGAGAAGTCAGATGATTATATTCCATATTTTCCATGCCTCCCGATTTCAGCCCTTCAAAATCTGATATGGCACCAAATTTCTCCCCAAAAAGTTTACTTTCGCCCTGTTCATTAACAAAAATGATACATCAAGAATTCCATTGACTATATAACAAGCAAGAGTTTTCCCTTTAAATTTTAATGCTAAATATAATCGTCATCACTAATCAACTCCTCACTGGAGAATAATTTACTCCAGCCCTTCAAAATCTGATATGGCACCAAATTTCTCCCCAAAAAGTTTACTTTCGCCCTGTTCATTAACAAAAATGATTCATCAAGAATTCCATTGACTATATAACAAGCAAGAGTTTTCCCTTCAAATTTTAATGCTAAATATAATCGTCATCACTAATCAACTCCTCACTGGAGAATAATTTATTCCCAAGAAAATAGTTCCGTTTTTGTAAAATATAACATAGAACTTCAAAGAAATGCATGCCGCGAACACATACAAGAGAACCCTTATATTGACAAGGAAACCACAAAACACAAATGTACGAGAAAAAGGTGAATCAGAACACCGATTCCCTGTACCAAAAAAATATTTCGCACCCGTGATCTCAGAAAAAAAAATGATGCACGTAAATTTCTGAAGAAAAAAATGGAACTGCCATCTAATCCATTAGCATAACAGGCTAATGGTTTCCACCAGCATAATGAAATTTGTTTGTGCCATACCTTCTCTGACACTGCATCATACGGTGGAATAAAGCCTGATGCTTGGACTGGTCGACAGGAAGTATCAGCAAATTCACTTAGCAGGTTATTTTCTTCATCATTTCTCCACATAAACTCAGATACAACACTTTCATTTGGTCCAGGGTGGCCACTAAAACCAATCCCTGAATCATCCTTCCTAGGATTTTCTGAGTTCTCTACCTTTGGTTCCTCCTGAACTGACCCTCTAAATGGTGTTTTCAAACTCTTTTCAACACTCTGCACTGGCTCACTGCCAGATAGACAAAGTACACTCTCTACAGAATCCATTTTCTGCTTCAGCTCATCCACAGTGCCACTGTAGGTATCAGTTGCATTATCATTAACAGTGAATGTGTGCTGATTCCTCGCAAAAAGAAAACAACTTTCTTGCACGGTGCTTGTCAGAACATCTGCATCCTGTTCAGAGCGATTGTCACCCAAAGCAATGCATAGCTCTCTATTGCAAGAGGTTTTAGCTTCCTGGTGTTTGTCTTCCTCCACCGTGGTACATGATAAGCCATTCACAGTATTCTCATTATCACAGGATTGCTCATTGTGAGATGGTCTATGTCCAGAATTTCTACCCTGCCTAAGCTTCTCGAATGTGCCATTGCAGATACCATAGTCTTTTGAACCAAATGTTACTCCATTTGTAGACGGAGCAAATGGAAAAATGTTCTTTCTTTCCTGCTTCATATTAGTTGAAGTTTGCACAGCTGGATCAATCTCACTGCCAAACTCATTGTTCTTAAGGCATAGGACTTCATTGTGCTTGGCCACATTTATTGTGCCATTAGAAACCGTAATTGCATTACCTTTTAAATCAAATGATTGCTCATTACCAGATATAGCAAACAGGCCACCTTCAGATTCCTTTTCTTGACAGGGTTCTCTTATTGTGCATTTAGGAGTCCCAGTAATATTAGCTTCAATAAGATGCATCTGCTCATTCAAAAATGGAATAACTGAGCAGTCCCCATGATGTCTCCCCTGTTCATTGCTGGCCACATTATCATCGACCAGTACAGTGCTATTGGCACGACAATCAACTGTTAACTCATTATTCCCAGACTTACCCTCATCGTCTAATTTCCTCTCATTTAAAATGCTAGTACAAACACTGTTCATGTTGTTCGTACCTGTTAAACCTCCTTTAGAAGCTTTTTCCAGCATGGTTTCCACCACATTGGGAGTTAAAAGCCCTGTCTTGTTATCTGCAACAGAACAGCCTTCAGAACTTGTTTGCTCCTTCAAGTTAGCAGTAGCATTCTCTACCATTGCAGCGCAACAACCAGTTATTGGCTCACCTTTTCCATCTGTATCCCGATCGTCAATTACCATGTTATCAATTGCAATAGAACATCTACCCTCAATAATGTAATCATTAAATGTGTTCTCCTTAACATTTGGAGCAAGTAAACCACTATTGGAACCTCTCTCCAGATTGAGTTCCTCAATTAAGCTAGAAGGTGCCTGATTCAAATTGCTGTAACCAATACAAGTCAGGTTATTTACACCACCAGCAAATGAATGGTTTTTAAGGCTTTTATCCTCCCTACCAAGATCATTGATACTGTTGGTGGAGCACTTGGGAGCATCTGTTTCATCAAGAGATCTATGAATAGCATTATTCTCATTATTCAACAAGGCTGGTTCAGAACAAACACTATTTTCAGCACCAAGAATGTCAGTAACTTCATTCATCTTCCCCACTTCATCATTGCTAATATTAAAAACTCTGTCCTGCTTACCACAATAGGTTTCTACAGAAGTATTTTCCTTCATTTCACAATATGGAACGGTGGAATTAATTTCATCATTGGTTTTAGTGTTCGAAGTTATTGCATCTGAATCCCTGTCAATGTCAATTGATGTTTGGATCTTCACAGCTCCAGGAGGAATTTCAACCGATGCAGGTTCATCACTCTTTTGAGCGGTTATGCCACTGGAAGCATCAAGTCTCTTAAGATAATCTTTTATGTGGTTCCCAAGATGGCCATTGAACCGATGCCTTTCTTCAAAAAGTTTAGAACAAAATTGACATTCATACTTTCCATTTTTTATTATCACCTCTTCATTTGTTGATGCCCCACTAAGCCGTTTTGGAGCCCGCTGATGGGATGACAGCAAGTGCTGTAGCAAGTCATCCTGCTTATCAAAAGCTGTAGTGCACTTGTGGCATTTATACTTCATCCCCTTTTGAACCTCCCCAGGACACCCTCCTGTTTCAATAGATCTTGAGGTGACAGGCAATGCCTTATAGCTAATAAAATCATTCTCATTCTTGCCATCTTTATGAGTATGATCTGCAGACTGTAGCACACAAGTAAGTAAAAACTATAGGGAGAGATGAAATGTGTAAACAAATACAATAAGTATTAACTCACAATGGAAGAAGTTATTTTGTCGGTCAACTTAATCCTGCCATCCATGTGACCAGAATTCGACCGGCTTACATCATGAAATCCAGAAAAGGAAAGCAAATATGATGAAACTTCCTTGCAGGACACAAACTGCTGCCCGTTAGGGCTGGATAGTATCGAATTAGGAAACATAGGTAAGAATTACACAACCAACAAAATATGCAAAATTAATTATGAAAAAAGAAACTTCCTATGGCTATATCTGTATTCTGTGCCACTTAGAAACAGTAATAAGAAATGCAACAGAGAACAATCAAGCCCCTATAGGGGTCCTGGTATAGCTTTTCTCATTTAATAATATCCTATGAACCACTGAGTGTAAGGTAAATAAATAGCTGTAAATGTATTTAGCAATTTAGGATTTCATTGTCATCATGAATGATGACAGGATAGCAGTTGTATGACTAGACATAATGAGAAGGAAGTTAAAATATACATCCTCTACAATAAGAAGATAACTAAAAAAGACATTGCTAATGGAACAAATGAAGAAATCAGAACGTCACGTATAGAAGTTGAAGAGACAAATTTTCAAGAGCATCATCTAGAGACAATATACGGCTTATTGTGCGAGATGGAGAAGCATCAAGCAAAATGCATGTGTTGAGAGTAACCAAGATGGCAATGCCAGGTTAGATGGATGATGGGAACCATAATTGAAAGATATAAAAAATCAGAATGAGCAAACCATCCTCATTAAAATTAAAACAAAAATGCTACACATAGCACTTCCATAAGCAACTCATACTCCAATTTAAATCTCTTTAACCGACGTCGGCAAAATTTGTTTTCCTATCATGTCAATTTTCACTAGTTTTATTCCATATTGCAATGCATATTTAGAGTGGCACTCATGTTTATTTTCCCATGCAATAGCAGAACAACAAACAACACAAATTAATCCCCCTATATGCTTACACAATGCAATCGACAAAAACTACGATTAGAAAATCTAAAAAAACAAAACAAAAAAAAGTAAGAAACCTTATGTATCTTGTACAAGCCAACCAAACACGACCAGCTTGCTTCTTGATGCAAATAGAGAGCTTCCACCCAATCGGAAGCGCATCCCCAAACATGCTAGCATCCACAATCCTCCTCTTCTTTCTCGTACTCCCCCATTCACCCTCGAACCCTTCCAAAAACCCTAAAAATTCTGCCTTCAATTGCATTCCCTCCGTCCTCCTCCGCAACTCCTCCCCATACGGATCCTCCATATTTCCCAATGCCACAAAGTCTACCACCGCTCCATTCTTAGTCACCATCTCCTCTTTCTTCTTATTCTCCACTTCCACATTGCCCCACATAACAGCAATCGTCTTATTCTCAGTTTTTTCCCTCACGACTAACTCATTATTATCGAAATTGACATTCTCATTCTTCCGTGGCCGGCCTCGCTTCCTCTTCTTTGAACTAGATTCAGCAATTCGAGTGGAAATCAAATGATTTACCTCTATTCTTTTTACTCCTTGATTAGAATCGCCGATGCTGGTTGAAACATTTTGCGATTCCGCATTATTTGCAAAAGGCAAACGCATATATTCATTATAGATAACAGGAACGGAGACTAGGTTATGATAATCCTCATTCTTATTTTCAGTAGAGTGAGAGTCAGAACCAAACAGCGACTTGAGACGAGAAATTATCTGTGAATTCTCTTCATCGAGAGGTTGTCGCTCAGTATATTGAAAGGGAACAGCAGGAGTTGAATTCGAAGAAGAGGAAGCGTTGCTGTTGCGAGGAGCGAGGCGGAGGCGGGAGAAAGTTTGTTTGCGGCTTCCAGCAGATTCGTTGAAGACAGAACGATCGATTTTAGGGGTGGAGACGTCGGCGGTGTCGGTGTGGAGACGGTGGAGAGAGGAGGAGGAGGAACAAAAGGAGAGGGAGAGGAGTTCGGATTGGGAAAGATAACGGAGGTCGATTAGAGGAAGAGATTCGGTGTGGAGGTGATTCTGGTGGATGCAGACGGAGAAGTCCCCGGTGCCAGTAGCCATGACATCGATTAGAGAGAGCGAAGATGATGTAACTGTTGACGAGGAGGAGAGAGAGACTTAAAAGGGTAGATAGAGGGGAGGGGAGGAGAGGAGAGGGGCTTTTGTTTGCGTGACCTGGCTGGAGTCTGATTCTTACATGATGAGGAGAGGAGAGGGGCTTTTGTTTGCGTGACCTGGCTGGAGTCTGATTCTTACATGATGTTCAAGTTGAATAGCGACGCGTATGTTTACCTTTACCCCGAGCGAACTTAGGGTTGGGGGTTTGTAAGTGGGCTAGGGTGTTGGGCTAAGCCTAGTATGTGTTGTGGAGGGGGCTACTTGCTACCTTCCGTCTGACCATCCATGACTCGGAGAGAAGCCGTCTCACCCCAATGCTTAATCTCATTAGGCCCGATTGTATTTGAACAAGATGCACAAAAGAAAAGGCAAGGTTGGTAATATGAGATTTTACGTGCGGTAACTCTCTAGCCAGTCATGCATAGTACTGTAAAAAGATTGAATTTTGATCTAAAGCTGATATAATTAAACAGGTACAGTAAGTAATTTTTTTTATCCGAGTTTGATTACGATCCGAATTTATTAACATATTTATTAATAGATCAAATCTATATCTAGCGCGATCTGATTTGATAATAATCTAATCCAAATTTAAAAATAATATTTTTATAATAAATAGAATATTTTAAAAAATAAAAATTTTAAATATATATAAATATGAGATTACATTGAAATTTAGATATTATTTATTATAAAGTTCAAATAATACATGTTCTTCCACAATAATGATTGTATTTTAAAAAAATTACATATAAATTTTTTATCATTTCTTAATTCAATTTCGTGAAAGAATTATAAATCGACTTGTATATATTTTCAAGAATTGCTATTATCATATTTGTCATCATCCTATTTTTAGAATTAAAAAAATCACAAAAAAGTAAGAAAAAGAGGAAAAAAACAAGAAAAAAAAACTAATTGATTAGAATATGGGAAAAAATGAAGAGAATAAAAAAAAACAAGGATTGATGCAAAAAATCAAGGCAGTTTGGAAAAGATTTGTGCAATTGGAGTTCTTTTCTTAAATAAATTTGAAAGAAATGAAATTTATTGATTCAAACATACTCAATATTTTAAACATAACTTTCTCTACAGAAGTTCAATTCAGGTGTTTCTTACTATATATTAAAACTAAAAAATAACGTTATAATTTATATATTATGCGCCTGGTCCATATCGAATCGTATCAGAAAATTAAGCTATAGTTGGCAGCTCGGACAAATTACGGTAGGATTAAGTCAAATCTAGAATCCTAATATATATATATATATAAACATGTACTACGAACAAATTCAATACTTTGCAGTGGTTAAAAAAGCAATTGTGATGTATTTTATATTCCTGTAACAATTGCTCATAATGTTCTAATATCATGGCTTCAGAAGCTGCATTCGTATGAGAAGTGAAGTTATTAATGATTATTGTGAATTTCCTACTTTCTAGACATTGTATAAGCAATAGCCATTACAGGTGATTGACTTTTAAATCGAAACATAAAAACTCATGATATTTCATTTAGTCAAATTTTTTATATTTTTACTCTTTATATATTAACAAATTATTATAAATATAAGATAATTTTTTTTCTTTTTCACAGCTAGATTTATAGAATTATCATCTTGGAATTTAAATTTGTAAATATTTATTTTACAACTGCATAAATAAGAAATAAAGTTTATTTATTATTTATTTTTTAGTTTTATCATACTTTCTATCTAGTTCAAGATATAATTTTTATTGATACCGTTCGATTTTGTTATTTTGAATTGCATGATTTTTTGAATTTTTTATAAAATTAATAAATTAAATATTATCTTAATATATTTGAAATATATTTTATATTTAAGTGATACTTTAAATATAAAAATTATATATTTTTTTATACAAATCAAGTGATAAATCTACTGGACTCTGAATCCAATTTAAATCTGTTATCATACTAATTTATATTTTCAAAACCCAATATAATTTTATAAGATTTAACGTGATTTGTTTTATTAAAAAAATTGGATAAGGATCTATATGATCCAATCCGAGTTCCACCTATTGACAGCACTAGCCATAAATTTATGGAAAGAGCCATAGGACTAAAAGAAACTATTAGGTGTTCTCACGTGCTACCTTGCTCACACAAAAAGCTTTCGCGTAAAAATACAACCTCTCATTATAACTATGTACAAGTCACGCTCCATGTGCGTGTGAGTGTAATATCTTCTGTTTGAAAAAAAAAATTTCTTTTAATTTTTTCACAGAGTTTAAAAACAGCTTACTAATTATTATACCATATCAATATTTTTAATTAAAATTATTAGTTATCAAATTTAATTCCATATCACATAGAATCAATATTAATTTTTTTAAAAATTATTAAAAATTAAATTGGTTCTAGAATTTTGATGTACAATGTTGTCTTATAAAAACAAATATTTTTTATGGAACAAAAAAAATTTATTTTATTTGAAATTTTGATGTTAAATGCTGCATATATAAGAGAAAAATATAAAGAGTATTGATTTTTTCGTTTGTGAATAATAAAAAATGGAAGAAAAAATTGATTTTTTAATCAATTAAGAGTATTTTAAAAAAGTACATTATTTAAAATTTTTACTGCATAAACATTTTGAGATTGATATAAATAAAAAGAAAGACAATCTCAAAATCTCTTTGACACGGATGGAGTGTTAAAAATACGCAATAATGATGTATTTTATGGATTATAAACGCTTTCAAAGTTTTACTTCTACTGGAGAAATAAAAAACTCTTTGGGTTAACATCTTTCATAGCAAATATCTCCTGGATTTTAATTCTACACCGAATGATGTTCTTATTGTTCATAATGGATCTGCTATTTGGAAAGTTATCGTTTGGCCTTCTACCATCAAGGGGATTGGGCGGTCGGTTAGAGATGGAACCAGAATCTTTTTTTGGACGGATAATTTGGTGGCAGGTGTTGTTTCTCTTATCCATCTTGTTTCTGATAATCCTCTTGATTCTCTCTGCAACTCTAAATTTGGTGACTATATGAATGCTTCAGGTCAATAATGGTGGGATAAAGTTGCTATTTGTTACCTCATGCTATTTACTTACAAATTGCTTGTGTACAACCTCTCCAAACATCCTTAGATGCTGATTGTCTAGTGTGGAAGGTTAACAGCAACGACAAGTTTTCCATCAGGTCAGCTCGAATGCTTTGTGAATATTCTCGATAGTCTCCTAACACGATCTGGTAACTGGTTTAGGAGTGGGTTGATGCTGGCGTATCCGTGATTTCCTTTGATTAGTAGAGCATGTTAAGATTCTTACCAATGAGCAAAGAGCTAACGATTAACGGATGATAAAACTTGTACTATTTGCAACTCTACCAAAGAAACAATATTACATGTTTTAAAGGATTGTTTGCAAGCAAATTTCGGTGTGGCTTGCTGTAGAATCTGGCTTTGACGAAATGAGGCCATTTTCTATCCACAGGAAATCATTCCGATTAACCCTCTATTTTGCTTGTGACCCTATGATGTACGGATAGTTTCTTATACATAAACAATTCACTTCTACTCTCACTACTACTGTTATCAAGAAGAAAGTTTAGCTTATTGAGCGGAGTTCTCCTTCGGTTGGCTTTGCTAGGCTCAACACAGATAGTTTAGTGATTAGTGCTTACGGATTAGCTTCAAGATAAGGGTTGATTCGCGACTCGTCGGGTAGTTGGCTGCGTGATTTTGCTTACAATAGTGATATATGTTTAGCTTTACATGTTGAGTTTACTTAAAATAAAAGAATTAAAAAGATGAAGGTTGAGGTTGACTCTAAACTAGCCATTGATCTCTTAATTAAGAAAGATCCGTTGTCGTTTTTCTATAATCAATTAGTTCTTTTTATTTTTCTTTTGATACAGCATCCTTAGATGTTCATCTTCGATATATTGATTGAAAAAAGAATAAATGTACAAATTAGTTATTTAGTTGTGTTCTCTTTCTCGATTTTAAAATTCATTATCAAATAAAAACTTATATTAGCTGGATGATGATTTTATTAGATGATATTTGTGAAACTGTCTTTTCAAAGATGATTTATTTGTAATTTTTCAGACGGTGAGTTTAGACTAGGAAAATCCATTCTCCGTGTTTGGACTAGGAGAATACATTCTCCATGTTTGTTTTAAGAAGAGAGACTTTTATGGTTGAAAATCTTAGTTTCATAAGCACACCTATCCTTCTTTTTATATATATATATGAACGAAAATACAAGATTGAAAATTAATAAATAGTTGGTCCATTGTCTATTGAATTTGCTCAAAAAATCATATTTGATTGAAATATGAAATATGATTATGCATAAGTAATCACAAAACAAATAGAACAATTTTTTTTTTATTTTAACAAATTAATTGAGCTAGTAATGAATTTAAAAAATAATATATTATATGATTGGTTTAGAGATTAGGGGGATTCAATGCATACTATCTTTATTTACTCCCTCGCTTGATTTTTTTTTAATTTGAATTTTGAAGTTGGATCTAAAGAGATTTGTTACACTTAATGTATTCCATCAATTTAAAGGTTTTTCTGTCAAAAATTTTTAAAAAATAAAATTTAGTTGTGATTGGTATGATGTTTTTTTAGTGCAGATTTATTCAAGATTTATACTTGATTTTTTGCTGATGCATAAATTGTTGATAGGCCAAAAGGCCCGTTTGGTGATAAAAAAAGTTTGGTAGCTCTAGTCCATGGATTCTTTCACTTCTCACCCGATCCATTATTCCATTTAATGAAAGGAAGAGTCTCCGTTCTACAGTCGGAGCGGAACTAGGAAGAGCTGGGTTGGGGGACCCCAGACTTGAAATAAATTTACATTTTAGTCCAAACATTTTTTATTAAACCATTAAAATTAAGATTGTTTAGCGGGGAAATACATATTTTGCATGCCAATAATTATGTATTATATT